AATGTTTAAAAATCTCCATCATATTATATCACTAATGTATGAACGAAGAATATTCTCTTCAGTTATTATTCAGTTTGTAGGTGTCAATGCCAAAATGAGACTTGATATTTTTAAATCAAAAGATCATTGAGTAGAAAGTTAGTAAAACAAGCATACATTTTTCTGATATCCCAATAAGTAGAAAATTGTATTTCTAGTGTATTATTTGAACTTGTGTTAATTTATTCTGGGTTATTTATTTAAGATTTGGAATATTCAGATGACCTGACCCCTCTATCCCATACAAATCATTAAATTCAGGTCACGGCAACTAGTTTGACAGTAGCCTCTGAAAAATTAGGCCCCAACATACATTAGGGAAATAGTAAGATCCTCAAATACAACACGGAGAACACCAACACAATCACATTAGATGGAGAAACTCTGGAAGATATGGAATGTTTCACGTATCTGGGTGGCATCATCGATGAATACAGAGGATCTGATGCAGATGTGAAGGTGAGGATCGTCAAGGCAATGAAAACATTTCTACAAATCGAGGACATCTGCAACTCGAAAAAAACTGTCAACCAATATCGAAGTCACAATCTTCAGTCTTCAGTGAATCAAGGCAGTTAATCAGTCAATTATTGCGCTGAAGTAGATTACAAAATCACAAATGATAAATGTTATGTATACATTCATGGTAGGATAATAGGCCACATGAAAGCATACGTTATTCCATTTTACCACACATGACCGAATGATGTCTTAGATATTGAGGAAGAATTATGTAAGATAAATGACCAAAGCGATAGTAATCTCCCTCACTGCAACAGCAGTAACTTCAGGATACTTGTATTGAGGAGTAGTGATACTCCGTCCATATCGAACTCTCCGAGAGCTTCCAGAACCTCACTCATCATTACGGATGTCGATTGCTCGTGCAGTGTTTCTACAGAAGTCCAGTTAATGCAGGTTTACTTGAAACTGTCTTCAAAGTTTATTCAACATTCCATCTCTAAAAATATTCTTCATCATGTCCACATGTCTAAGAGGTGTATAGCCGACTCAATGCATATTCAAAGAAGAGTGAACTAAATGGTTTTCACCAAGAAATAGATCTTACTTGTCTCACATATATAAGCTCCAAATTAATAACCTTTGAAATACCGAAGAATAATGAGGCGTATCGTATGGGTCATAATGCTGTTCACCTTATAATGTGGTTGATAGCTTTCACTACTACGTCACACACAAGTGGTCATCGTTTTAATGTATAAGACGAACAAATGTATGGATGCTTATGATTAGTATTCTACCTGATACTTAATTTATTTGAAATTGTTTAGTCGAACCGTGGTATTGATACGCGCACCGTCACAATTATCCATCTTGTAAGCACATAGTTGTGTCTATTGAGTATTGTTTATGCCTAATCCGTTGTACCACAACTGATATTGTCACTAGTTTCACCACTTGTGTAGTACGTGGTCCAACCATCTCAGTCGATGAAGATTTACAACCTCAGCAACTGATTTTCCATCATTCCCTAATACCCTGCATCTAACGTCACTAATACATAACCGGTGTTCCCAGCAGTTGCGAGCAATATTTCTAAGGCATCTGTGGTCAAATACTACTAGCTGATCAGACTCCCAAGGTAGGTGTTGTCGACATGTTCGACTACTTCACTCTCTATAATTTGTTCAGGTGGTGACGCAGGTCAGTCCTGAAGCAACAAGTTGCATTCAGAGGGGGAGAAGCGCATCCAAAACATTCTTGCATTGTTGTTCATTGGTACCAAATGACTCTGCATTTTATCAACGTCTTCACCAAACAGGACTATATCATCTGTGTATTCTGAGTCGATAAGTAGACCTCTTGAAAATATATCAATTCCTGAAAATTCAGTCGACGCGGACGTTATTTCGATCAGTAGGTCTATGATGAAGTTGAAGAGAAATGGAGAAAGTGGACAGCTTTGACGGACATTACTTAAGGTTACGAAAGCAGATGACATTTCGTCAAAAGCTCTGACTCGACTAGTAGTGTTCGAGTAAAGAGTCTGCACGAGGTTTATGTACATCTGAGGTACGCCTCTCAATGACAGACACTGCCACAGAATCTCGCGGTCTACAGAGTCAAATGGTGCTTTAAAGTCAAGAAAGATCACCATTTGTCGGACGCCGATAAGCATGCCTGTTCTAGGACCTGATGAATGGTGAATATGTGGTCGATTCAACCACGACCAGGTCTGAAGCCAGCCTGATTCTCACGAGTTTGCACTTCACGAGTCTTTGTTAGGCGTCCGGCATTTATTGAGGCTAGTATTTCAGATGCTATGTCTGTCAAACTGATCCCTCTATGGTTCTCACAGGATGATTTTGACCCTTCATATATATTGGCGCAATCAGTGACTGTGACCAGTCAGATGGGATTACGTCGAACTCCTAGATTTTAGCTAACATTTTAGTTAACCTAATCGCTAAAGCTGGACCACCATACTTAAAGACCTCTCGAGTCAATCCAAATTGAACAGCTGCTCTTCCGCATTTCAGATTAACTTTAGCGTTTCGAACTTCGATTAGAGTCGGAGACCTACTTCAATGTTCCATTCTGACTGTTTGGAAGTGGTGGTTGGTTGTCGAATAGCTGTCATACGTCTGTACAGTCAGCAGTAAGACTTCGGTCTCGGGGACTCACTTCACTGATTCTAGTGTGACCGCTCTTTAACCAACCTATCTGACATGGTAGGACCTTTAGGAACTGTTGGTACAGCCAATATAACTCGATTGGTTCATTACTATAAGCAAGGTCCCTTTCCAGAAACGACGAGTCAAACCAGTTCGCATAGCAGCTATAGTGATAATAATGATTAGAATAAATTTGACGATAGTTCGAACACCTCAGAGGTGTCACCTGGTAGAACAAAGCTATCTCACTGTCAATTAGAAGATCTCAACCCTACAGAGAATACTCCCTCAGCACCTCCAACAGGTTCGAAGCGTCGAAAGCAAATCCTTCCTTCTCGTGCTGATATTTCTACTGATTCTCATTGTGTTGTACAAAGTGAACACGAGAAGGCCCGTAGTTATCACCACAAAAGTAAACATCGTCATCGCAACAAGCATTTTCAATGTGAGAGGATAGAGAAATGTGGATACGATGTTAGTTCTTCTTGCACAGTACCGAACTCAAATGATGGTCATGAGTTATCAAGTGTCGTTGTAAATTTACTGCCTGTCAAAAAAACGTCTATGGAAGAATTTCAATCACGGACACCAACTATTCCTTGAATGCATCAAATACACTGTCAACGTAAGATATGTAGTGGCTCACATTTATCACGAGAACACGACTGGGTTAATAAAAACAATTATTATTATAACCAACTGTACCAGTGTTTGTTTTAATGTGACTTTGTTTAACTGTGCTAATTATAGCCATTTTGTGCTCCCATTACCTTCCATCATTGTTCCGCGGCTTTTGGTACTGTTCGCACGTGCTCCATTCTCCCGCTTTCGCTTGTACCATTTCTTGGCACGATCTCGGTATTTATTCGATACCATGAGATCGCCAACCGAATAAATCTGGTTACGTTCAACCTTCGCCTTCTGATTTCTTTGGCACGTGTTTTTTGGTAGCGGTGTACATAGTCATTTGGGACTGGACGCCACGCTACAGATACTTCACTTATCCTGGCACCCGAAGAAATTCCTTACAGTATCTCTATCGGGCAATCAGATGTTTCTTGTTTCAGGTCAGCCGACATTTGGTGGTACATTGCCTTCACAGAAGGATTCGAGTCATTGCAATGACTCTTCTTGTTTATCTAGGTCAACTGACGATGAGAACAACATACCTAGTGGACATCGTGAAGCGAGATCCACATCTATAAGAGATAACGTATTGACCAGATTGTCTGTAAATTGTTTTGTGCCAACGACTTCATATCTATTAGTGTTTACGGCCTTTCAAGTAACGGTTTGAGCCTGTTTATTATCCGAGCAACACACAATGCATAAGAAACGGGATTCGATCTAGATTTCATCCAATGAATCACATTGAATGTGCCTTAATACCTTGGATCCTTCGACTCGACTGTTTAGAGCAACGTGCGACTCAGATGAATATCGGTGAGCCGGAAATTTGAAAAGAGAGGAAGACTGGGATTTTCTGCGTTAACCTTTGAGATAGGCATAAACTGAAGACCAGAAGGATACAAGTAAACACAAAGCACTTTGCACTCAATAATTTAATTCCAGCATCTCGTGTAAATCAAGAAAACAAAAATATTGTGAAAGACTTGCATTTAATCAAACAATTTTAAAGTATTGATACTACTGCTACAAACTAAATAGTGTTATTAAATGAAACGACAGTGCATTCCGTCCCATTCTCTGAGTTAATTGTAGACTCCTACAAGGAAAGTAGACGTTGAGTTGATGATTATTTGGAGTGATTTGAAGGAAGAGATGTAAATAACACAAAGTATATACTCAATGAAGTCGATTACTGATGAAGCATACAGCGCCAATGTGCATAAAATATTTCCGACCGATGTAGAGTAGCAAAGACATAATTGTATCATGACTGATCAGTCACCTATGTTACATCACTCATTGCACAATATATTCTCACGAATCTTCCAAACATTGATCAGTAGCCAGCACTATGTACGCAGTGATGCAATGTAGTTGTTTCTTAATCAATCCGTGCACAAATATATGCCTTTTAAACAAGTGCCAACAATGCAAATGCCATGTAGTTATGCAGTCTTTCGGGGGATTGATCTGAACTCACGTATCTTGATGAATTCCTCAAGTATGTTGAACACGTAAAATCAGTGAACATGTGATATTATTCATATACGTCTGAAGTCATCATTGTTACAGAACTTGGGTTTCATCTGAGATGTTAGGTCACACACTGACAAAATTGATTGTGACCCAATCGCTATTGTTATTCATGGTCGAAATTCCACTGAATGGCTCCCATACTACATACATTTTCGCAATATGATATCGACACGTTTACCGTCTTATGGTAACATTTTAAATGACTTGCATGAGCAAAAGGATAGTGAGTAAGTGCAAAGATAAAAGTGAATGGACGTCAGTTACACTTACCATACTGGTGATCCACCTCTGCATCCATTGCACTTAAAACGTTGATGACTCTCTCAATAGGAGACACAACTGAACACCATATTAGTTAAGAGTATTTTCAAACTTACATCGCAAATAATCAAGCCTGCGATTTTCGAGGTTTTGTACTATACTCTTCAACTCGACTGTGAATTAAATTGAAGTAGTAATCTCGAAAAATAACTATCCAGAGCACAAATGTTAATCAGAATGAAACAGATTCGTAACAACTGTGGTATCAGTATGTTCCTAATATACTTGGTGAGTTAGTGGTGTGAAAGCTTAGCTGAAAACTGTGGAAGTTTTCTTCACCAATTCAATGGAACAGTGTATCTGACACGCATAATATGGCAATATCAAGGAGTTCATTGTCTGAGTGAACTCATCAAAAATAACTATGTGAACACGTTTTTTTCCGTGTGGCATACCAATGATTTGGAATTGTTTGGAAAGACAGAAAGCATTACTGCAATTGTACAGACCTCAGTAGTTATGGCGATACACTGTGAGTAGAAGAAAGCTTGGAAAGTAGGTCACGAATCATGCTTGATTCTCTGTTCCTGGATGGAAACCGAAATTGTATCGTAAGGTTTACATACAGTTCAATAGAAGTGTTGCAATGACGTCAGTGCATTGGAACGAAAATCGACTTCAGATATGCACGTGGTTTTACTTAGTTTTAACGATGTAACCACTGATCTTACCTAGTGAAAGGTTGAAATTTTTGTAGATGTTGTCAAATTTTTCAATTAGGTTTCTTGAGTTCGTGGTATCTGCAAAGAATACGTGATCCGTGATACAGAATAGTGAAGACACAGGGAAGGAATGCAGTACATATAAATGTAAGTAACCGACAGATAGAAAATGCCTATGAGATACATTGGTTTGTGAAATGATTATAATCAAACTGTATACAACTACGATAACAGATAGATAACTTGGAAATATGTTGCTAAATAATGAAGTCTGGAATTAAATGAATTATTGAAGCAAACAACCCTTAACTTTTATGTTGTTTCTCCACATAACTTGGTCCGATGCCAAGAGACGTTCCCGTTCCCGCTGTCATGATTACTATTAGAATATTGCACGTCTGATAGTACTTTAATCCAGTGATCGATAGTGAATGGCGCCTCGAGTTGTTATTATTCATTTTATGTATTACGCATATGGGGGATTTGCGTGTCAACTAACCTTTCACTCCCTGTGACTCCAAATATTGTTCTGCAGTTGACATGCATTCTATCTCGGCTTTAGCTATGAACAATGAGAAACAAAATTACGACAATTATTTGATATCGACGAATGTGTGGTTGAAATTGTAGGAAGAATAAAGCAATCATAAGATTCCAGTCAATGTATCATGTGATACCGTCAAATGAGAACCAAGATATGTAAGCAACACTTATTTATTAACTCGAATTAAAACTCAGGCTACACTTGCTTCGATGTATCATCATCACTCTCTCAGCACATTTGACATTTTCTTTTCTCAAACGGTAATCAAAACCTGTTTTGAATATTGCAAATAAATACACGAGAGTTGAAAACGGTGACTTTCACAATTGGGGAAAATGCTGAATGATAATAGAAAGATATGAAATCGAAAGCTATTTGATCGTTTCCACCTCTAAGCAATTCAAAATAGTAGGTGAAACTAGGTGAGGAAATGCAAAGTCCGTCTTATTCAACAGAATATCCTAAGAAATGTGAAATTTTCTACACAGTACTACACCACAAATACATTGTTTTCAATATCACGTTCAATGAGTATGTGTTTTGGCGACAAAATTGATTTCAGAGATGAATAAAAGATTGTGCCTGCGCTCGTAGCTGATTCTCTGGTATGTACTCGACGTTGAACAAACGTCTATATGTCTTTCGTCTATAAGAAATGTCAATGTGTTTACCTACTAGTTGAATGAGTAGTGCCATATTTACGCAATCCTTACAAACATACATCCAAAGATTTCCACAAATGATGTTGCCAATGTAACTTCCAACCCTCACTGAGTTCGCCATTCGTTAACTTTGTTGAAACACTTACAGATATGCAGGTAACTGTTTTAAGCAAGTATTGTTTTTCATCGAATCTGGAGTGCGGTACGGCTCAAACTGATATCAGTCGAAAGTTATAGTTGAGTAACGCTCAAGTTCACCAACTCAATACTTTCTGAAAACAAACCTACCTCTATCCTCCACGTATTGCGATTGACTGTTTTTAAACCAGCCATCCAACCAGCGAACTGTATTGAAGAAAACAGCGACATTAGTACTATAAAATGCCGTGTGTGGTATTCAAACAGAGGTATTTGACGCTACTAAATGTTATTCCGACAAAACATAACACGTAAGATTTATTCATTGCTAACTATGAAATGTACAGGTTTAACAAGTGAAACCCGAATGGTCGGAGTCGCAAATCAAGTACTATGTAAGCAGGATACAATGGACTTATGAATAACAACACAGAATCCATACTAAAACTTGTTTCAGCACATCGTCAGTAGCAAATTGTTGCACCTAATGGATTCAGGTGATCTTATATGTCTGTTCATTGCAAGTCGAGTCAGTCCACATTGTTTGGCTTTTTCAAACATGACAACTGGAAAATTCATCACTTCATGCAAATAACTCAGATGTGTGTGTTTGAATTCACGTTCACTAGTTGACACCATGGAAGTGATCCTCATACATGATTGACTATAATAATCTTGCAATAGGCAGAATCTGACAACTGATTGAGTTTGGAAAACATTCGCTTACTTGCCAGCTTATCAAATTGTGTTCTTGCTTCCCATTTCAACTGGGAATATTTCTTCAGGACGCCACAACCTGTTGACGTGTCAAAGGCACAGGTGAATAAGTAAGTTTACTTCAAATAGTATTCTCATATAGCTGTTATGTAAGTAATCCTATCTTCTGTGATCTGTCAAGTGAATATGATTCCTTACAGTGAATGGAAGCTATTGTGACGATTATCCCGAGACGGATGAATTCAACTTCTGTTTCGTTAACAAGGAAACTATGAAAACGCACATATGTTCGATTTAGCCATGTTGATCGAGTGTTCCTGTGAGATCGTTGCAAGCTGTTGCCAAGTTAGCATCTATCCAAATACTTACAATTGTCTCTTGACTGTGTGAAGAAAGATTAGACATATTAAATTATTTTAAGGATATTTCGTCCAATAGAAATAAACTCCAGTTATTGCAGAATGTTGATACTGGTTGATGTATTACAGACCAGAGTGTAGAAATTAATTGTCATCTATCAGCCTAGAGACACACAACCAAGCTATTCAGAGCAAGATTGACAAACGCGAGCATTTTGAATAAAACGGCATTGAACTCACCATATGCTATGTTTTTTTGGATAGTCGCGTTCCAGTTTCTAGCACTACTTTGCTGCAACATAGTCATACCTGTAATGAACAATTACAGACGGTTTTATGCAAGAAGTATGTGTAAATCAATTTACTGTGATACAAAATGTCAAGAACATATGTTAAAAGATTATTACTGTTTTGAAGTTCAGAGATAGTGAAATCAGGGCCAAATCACTCATTTTGCAAGTTGTGTGTCACGGTGATATCACACTAGGCTGTTGCTAATAACTCCTAATAACTTGGTAGATAGTTAATGGATGGAATAAAGTACAATATTTCATCATTGTCTCAGACGTACTAATTATGATACAATATGGTAGTGATGGATGGGATGTATCAATTTATCGAGATCTGTTTCAAAGTGGGTTCTGAACACAATGTTGTGGTTTTGTGTGAAATACAATTTAAAATTTTCACATCACTCACAGAAGTCTGGTACAATGGAGTTTTTCAAATCTGTAAGATAAGTAAGTGACATTTAACTGTAAGTAGATAATATGTGAAAGTATGTGTACATTTTAAGTTGAGTAAAGTCAATGAAGATATTGTGGAAGACGAAACGGACATTATCAGTTTGGCGGGTCAACACTATTTGCTTTTCATGAAGTAGAAAATCCATGATGTATCAGAGTTTCCACTTCTTGTTTGTAAGTGAAATTGGCTGATTTATTGAGTCGTTTGATTGAAAAGTGAACACATTTTGCATTCAAAAATGTGAGATATATTTATTTCAGGTTACCAAGGCTTACCCGTATAATTGTTCATAATAGAATTGAACCGTTCACTATCCAGTTTCCAAGTTTCTTTAGCAGCTTGAGTGAGTATCAACAGAAAGGTTAAGAGGTTGGACAATTTCTACTGAAAAACCCTCATATGTCTATTTTTACGTATTTAAAGAAGAACTACTTTCTGAATTGACAAGCTCTTCATACTTCTTTAGACGACCGCTGTTTGATCTGAAGGCATTGTATTCAGACTGAAGGATGAAATGTCTACATTCTTTGCCAATGATTAACAGCGTGCACACAGGAAGCACGAGACTCCATATACATATGTACGTGCAGTTATTTGCTTTTGTGTATCCGGAAACTTGAGAAATGAATGTAGGAGTTGTGTTCTCCGACAGTTTGGATTTCGAAGAATTCGGAAACGAGATTTCAAATAGCCACATGATCAAACACATCGAGTTTGTTCAAAGTTATTTGGAACATCAGTAAATGTGCGGCATTATTGTAGACAGTACGATTTGAAGGACATACTTTATATCGGAAGATGCCCACTAACGATCAGTTGGTAAAGTTACAAATACACATCAAAGATAGATGGATGTGATAACGTTTCCAACTTAGTTTAGGGGCCAAGATTAGCAACGGAGTGAAAATTAGTCTAGGCATGTCAATGACAAAGAGTTGCAACATACCGTTTAGATAATTGAGTGCCCACTTCACTTGGTGTTCTTTCTCCGACTCGCGAAGCACTACACAAATAATTATGAACAGTAAACATAGGTGATGTGAGACCTTCTATTTCCTCGTGGTAAGAGGCAGGACATGTGCTTCATTTTAATATAAACGCTTACTAGTTTACAATTAGTTGTATTGTAAATTGAACCACTACGAACTCATTTACATACAAGCGTCGTTATCAATCCATTTCACATACTTTCCTCGATGTTCAGTTTGATATTGACTAAATACAGTAAAACTCTCAACAACTTCATATGGAGTTATTGATTAGTGTCAATACAGTGGACAAGCAGATAAGATTCTGCTTTACATGACACTATTAAAACTGAGTAGTTTGTTCGTCTGATGTCAACGCATAAGAACACATACAAACTTACTGATATCACATTCTTCCTTTGTGAAATTCATATCAGGTCCCAGTGCCATAATGAGGAGTTGATCTAGACAACCGAAAAGACAATATCTGACATGATGTTCTCATGCACAACTAACAAGTAATAACTATTTTTAAATACATCCACTCAAATGCTAGTTGGAGTAACAATAAGGGTAAATAATATTTGCTTACAATTATTATGTATTTTTGATACATAATGTTCCCCATATTCCGATATAGTGGCACTCATCTTGTCTAAAAGATAATGGAACATGTAGAGCATCAATATTGTTCACTATCTGCTCCAACACCAGTGAGGCAGCCTTAAGATGAAATACAAACACTGAGTGACTTTAGAATTGAGAGAAAACATCACTACATCCATAAAGGATATTTTCTTTCTGTCTGGGTTCTCATCACTAATTGCGATGTATATGTTGGAAAGTAGTCTAACTAACAATTGTAGACAGTTAATGTTCCTGAGATTGTACGTTCCCCTTTCATTCTACACTTCACCATGTCGGACGGTGTTCCTGATCAAACTGAGAAAAACACATTGGAAATAAGCGCGGGTGTGATGGTCCGTGATGAGGAAGCTACATGGATGGAACATTGTGTTAGTTGCAGACTGGGATTTATTTCTTAGTAGACATATTCAAGAAACTGCTGATGCCTTCTGATTTTTATGTGTGAGAATTTACAACTTTAGCATTACAGTATGAACAAGAGACTTACTTTTGATAGGAGACTGAGCTTCGCAGATAAGACCACTTACTAAATCACATAAATGAGTGCATGGAATTAAAAGTTAGTATTTGTATTTACATGGAAAATAATCAAACTTGTTTCACAATGATCTGGTTTGTGAACATGGTACAAAATCATATCGTCGAATCGACATGGTAACCAGGCCAAGAATTTCCTGTTCGACCAGTATATATCTATACCCATGTTCTCTTAAACAAGAAACTAGTATGGAATGTTTCACTGAAATTGTTCTAAATCTGACCTATCAATCTGTGGATTTTCGTCGCTCAACAAGCCAAACAGTTATCCACCGTCCACAACCAAGCTAAACGCAATATCCACTTACAACAAGAAATTGTTCACACAAAGTCTATGTAGTTTTGCTTGTTATGAAAATGACGATGAAGACCATAATGACATGGTACACGGAATATCTGAAACTCTAAGACGTTTTACTAGCTGATATTTGAATAGGTTTTGGAGTATAATCTGGGACAAAATGATACGTTTGTATGGACAAGTTGCCAATCAAAATGTAACACTAGTCCAGAATGCCTCGTCAACTACCTCCAACCACCCACCGTCAAATAAATTGGGAAACCAATTCTAGTAAATGAGGAACACATGAAGTAACTCAAACCCGTTACGTGTGAAGTGATTGAAGATTACCCACAAATGTACTCACGTGAAATCAGTAAAGTGATCCCGTTTATTAGAATGTTGTATTCCTGCAACATATTACTTCTAAACTCAATTTTTCTGATGAACATGTTTGTTTGAACGTTTGTCTATATACTGTTTTGGTGTGAAACCAAACACAGCGAACTGAAACATTCTCATAAGCACTTTCAATTTGGTTACAAGACTGTGATTGAGTTCTCATGATATGAAACACTGATGAGAAGTGCACTCATGAAATTGAGGACACTGAAGACAGTGCTGATGATAATATTCTTATCACGATGTGATTTTCAATGTGACGCAAGTTTAACTGATTTTTCTCATATCCGTATTAAGTTTGTGGTGAGAGAATTTTGTTCACAACTCCTTCAACTTTCCACTTGATGTAAGTAGATTCTCGTCAATTACAGATTAATGTAAACTGTACTCATAGAACTGAGGACAGTGAACGTGATCGTGCTGTTTGATGAATTTGTAAAATTTTCTCTCAAGAGAATTTCATGTTTAATTAAACATTTTGTTCACATTGATGGCCAGTTTTTTAAAACTCTCCAAATGTACTATATACAGACTGTTAAAGCACCAAAATGATGAATTTCAATGTATGAGTGATTGGGACTGTTACGGTACAAATGCGAGGTGCTAAATCACAAGTATTTCACAGTAATTCGTCAGAACATATATATACACCAACAGAAAATGCCTCGACTGGATAATAAGAAAATGCCATGACGTGGTGCATGTGGAGAAAGCAGTAGTGTTGAATGTGTCATCTTTATACAATTGAACATCATTTGATGGGCCTTGGGTATCTGACTCAATTTACATTGGTTTATGAAGCAATGAATGGTTGTTATTTAGGTATGCACCTCAGGTAGAAATTTGCATTATCATGAAATACCGTAACGCATCCACACGTATGGTGGTCCAGCTTCAATTAACTCATGATCTCAACTAATAAAATTACTATGATATCCAAAAAACCCCTTGTTATATTACAACTATATTATTTTATTTATGACAATCCACACAATGCTCAATTTATTCGGAATTATCAAGTCAAACCTTGGTCATGATACTCACTATGGTTTTATTTAGGGCAGTTGGAAATTATTTCATATTAAGGAATACGTGTTCAACCTTACCCAACTTAGTTATCAGCAAGATTTACCCATTTATAAAATGTACTTGTAACGACCGAACAGCCAATATTCGGTTGGAACAACGGACTGACGAACCCAAAATTTATTCGATTAGACCAGACCAAGTTCCTCTGTATAGCCCACAACGCGTCTTTGAGATACTCGTATTATATTATATCAAAACACAAACTCTGTGCTCAATATAAACGTTTCTAATTAAGAAAACAGAACAAATTACATCAAAAATACAAAATACCTCAAACGGTACAGCCTGTGCTATACAGTCAGAAGTTTTTCTAACGCAAAGTAGCGCGCTAAACAATGAAAGAGACAGTTAATACTAAAGGGTTTGATACCTGAGAATCAATACAAATATTCCCAATCAGATGGGATCAAATATCTATCTGCAGGGATTGCAGCAATTCTCCCAAGCAGACAGTCAGAAGGTTAAGTCACAAACTGAACCACGCCGTGACCTTGAGTTTAGTCAAACACAACCTTACTGTCAATGGTCCGGCAACATGCAATAGAAAATTAGGTAACCAAAAATAAGTCTTTAATCAAAATCACATAATAAAGGCTCAAACGAGGAAGACTGAAGAACAAAAGATATGGTTAAACGAGATCGAAACAAAGGTTGGAATACACAAAAGGGAGAAGGAACAAATAAATGAAAATACTGTTCAACAAAGAAGCTGCAGAGGGATTTTCACTGTTCTTTTTCCGTTACAGTACTGTCATAATTAATTCCAAGTTTTTACATCAAGCTGTCACTTACGTTTTAGAAACTAAGTAAACGCTTGGAATAATTTGTGACTTATTTCTGTTGTTGCTATCCCATTCTTATAACTGTGTCACAGGTGAAACATGGAAAACGCATCCTATTGAGGTTTTTCGGAAGAGATTAAGCTCTAACATCAGAAAAACTAAGACGACTTCAAAGTCAGTCATGTAAGTTTTGCTATTGTCTGCAAAAGCTGTTTCTTAACAACACGTTGTTTCTGCAGAATGTATCACGGATCGCAATAAAATGCCTTTTTATTTTAATGATGGCGAGTAGGTGAAACGTAAATGCAAGTATAAGAAACTCTTGATTTCAATGCATAGAAAGTGGTAGAAAATGTAAGCGGTTTTTATAATCATTGGGTAGATTATTGAATAGATCCCATTCCCGTCGTCGAATATTCATTGAATTCGCTTGCTACTTCAGTTGTAGAATAACATTTTTCTACAATGCGAAACAAATAAGTGAAAGCAACATTTAGGTAGCATTCAGTATCAAAGAGGCGAATTCTCAAGTTCTTGTTATAAATAGACAAAAATATCATTTCTTTAGGTGTTAACTTACATAAACCATAGAAAACGTAAATATGTTGTGTGAGTTACTTAAAGTAAATTATTTCACGCTTAGCATTGTTTTGTAAATGCTGCATCTAAGGATTACAGTTCTATAGCCAACCAGCATGACAGCGATCCTGCCTTCCCACAAGGAGGCGTGTGGTTAGAATAAGTTGACGCTAAAAATACATACCTTGGCTTATCCGATGGATATCCGTCTCTGGCGGTACGACTTCAACAATTGCGGAGCTAACACAAAAATTACTCACACGAAAGTCGCGTGTGACCGACCTTTCATGCAGTTGTCCCTTGGGCACTGTGGTCACGCTCTTAGGTCACTAAGACCACCTCTAATCCAACTTCTTTCTCAGGTACCTCAAGAAGAACCCTTCCACAGTGTGAGCAACCGGGATGTGATAATCGTCCATATATTTTTAACAGCACTCAAGACATTTACTTTTATTTTCTGTCAACACCATGAATAGGGTTTTCAGGCCTTCTTAATTATATCAATAAAATCCAATACGTAGGCTAAATTCATTTTGTTTTTAATATAGTTCTTGTCAATTTGCAGATTTTAGCTCATAACTGTCAACCTGTTAGGTCTCATAGGAACGAATAAAAGACGCGAACAGACAACAGCATCTACTAGGGAAATACGGAGTTGGGGTATTTAGATGTTCTGAGATTGCTATGTAGTTAACTTAACCCTGTTAAATTCACTTAGATATCCACATTTTATATTTTCTCTAAAATTAGGGAGTTTTATCGACGACAAGATGAACATATTCGTGAATTGGGGAAGATCGCATCTACTACGGAGGCAGAAACCTCCGATGTAGAAGTAACCTCCAATCATCATTCTATTAGGCGGCAAACGCGAATTAATACAATGATTATTGGTGTTGTATTTTGTGCCAACGTGGTAAGTATAATATCACTAATAATTAGTTCCTGAACATTACTAAAACGGAAAGGAAGGAAATTTCATTCTAATGCAGAATGAACTATCCTTGGTAAATTCTAATAAGTTATTAATGCTCAGCGTTTACATGCTTCCATCTAGCTATTGTAACATAGGAAAATTATTTAGAATATATAATAAGTTTACAAACTAGTAATCTGTCATCTGGTGTTTCGATTGATCTTAGTTCACCATCTGCAGATTTTCCATCTGCTTTATTACTTTCGCTTTAAGCAATACCCGTTTAATTGACGACTAGTGATTTCAAATAACCAGTCATTCATAACGAACGCAAAATGTTAATTTCTAGTAATATAAGTTTTGTGGTTTACGGATCGTAAACATCAAATCGTTTTTTCCATAGCATAAGGCTGATATAATTATTAGATGACTAAGATTAAAACAATCATTTGCTACTGAAGTGACGTGTAAATTTGTTACCATTCCAGTGAATATAGGGAGATTAAGTTTACTGGTGTCTTGGATTAAGCAAGCAATTTTCTTTGAGTTCATCCTCTTCGAAACAACGAACTAGTAAAACCTCTTTTCTAATTTTTTACGCTAGACGTTTGGTTTTATTTTGATATAATTCCTACACTAGTTTATTCTCCTTACGTTTTATGAATGTGACACTTCTTTCACCATGAAATCAACTTATATTTTATTCAGTGAAATTTTAAATGAAAAATATAATTTTCTAGTAGTGTTATTATCTGTCTAACGATTTTACATTGTATGTATGAAAATAACTTGATAACCTTTAATTATCATATTGCCCATTTGAAATTACATCAATATAGGTACTTTTATTGGGTAAAGCTGTAGCATCTGCATTATCAGGGTCATTAGCAATCATATCATCTTTGTTAGATAGTTGTGTCGATTTGGCTTCCGGTGGAATCATGTGGTTTGCTGCTCGTCAAATGCGTAAAAGGAAGCCATACAAATACCCAGAAGGTAATTTGGTTTAAAAATATTTTAACTCATCATAAAATGATCTACGGTCTATGGGCTGGTTATTTTAAACTGTTGTTACAGTTGTTTTAAATGGTCTTTTCAATACGACATGCAGTTGATTCCACTAACAGTATGAATGACTCTCAAAATATGGACTGGTGAATGATGTGTTGGAAGAATTCTGCACATTTTAAACATTTGTCAACATATAACTTTTCTGTCACTACATTTGGCAATCTTTTAGAGTTCTCGTTTTTTAAATGATGTTTTATACATCGATATTAATTCTCAAATTATCACTTCATCTAGTTATCGAACAAAAGTTGTGAATGTATTCGATTTTTAATTGAACACTATCATCAATTTACCGTAAGTATCTATTTACAAGCCTTTACTTAATCAGACTGATTATTTCCGAAACTACTGAAATGTTCAGATATAGTATGAAGAAAGAATAAGTAACATATCATAACAATTTACTTCTAAATTGTTTAAGACAAAGTGCATATCTTTCAGTAACTAGTTACCAAATTTTAACAAAATATAGAACTAAGTTATGAGTCCAGTCGCCAAGAAGTTATAAACAGTGACATCCGATAACAAAAATTAACGCAGTCACATTGAAGTGAACGAGAACTCAGGTGTGGTACACCAATTGATTGTCTAATGCAAACTTACAAAGTGCCTTCGTATAATATGAAAACGATACATTGAATAAATTATTTGCACCTTTTTCAGTTGTCCTTCCTGTTTTCTTTAATTTAATCACCTCAACCCGTTGCTGGCAGGCATCTCATTTCCGATTGCTCCTACATGCTACTTGTACCCGTAAGCATAAGCAACATGCATCACACCATGTTGTTATTCATTTGTTCTCTCTATTTAACGTTGATAATGCCAGTCTTAGGTATGTAATTGCATGAGCTCTTCAATGGTTGAAAGTGAATTATCATCATCATTTAGCCATGTTGTTAAACCAGATGATTGTAATAATTACTTAAGATCTTAGTGTAAATTTCTAAGATACTTATTATTTATGCTTTACAATTATTAAATTTACTGAAATATTTATCAATCATTTTTATTCTAATGTTGGGTTTTTGAAAATCATCTGAAAGTGAAAGAGAAATAAGGTCTCTAAAATGCTGTTATTTTATTTCCTTCTTAGGGAGAACACGACTTGAACCATTAGCGGTGATTGTACTCTCTGTATTTATGGGTAGTATATCTATACAACTTGTAGCTGAATCTGTACAAGCCATTGTTCGTATGTCACAAAATAATCAAGAGGCACCAAACGTTAATGATTTAGCATTGGGAATAATGGCATCCGTAATTGGTAAGAATTATATTTAATGTTCATAAATTGTGTTTTCAAACTTCATTTGAAAAGCTGTGACCTAGACCCACAAAATACCTGTTGATTAGTAGCCAATATTTCATTCACTTTACCTATTGTCAATTTAATTGTCTTATATAGCACAAAAGATATAATCAGAGAGTTGAACGTACCCACTAAGTCTCTTTTGTCATATTTACCTGTTAATTTGTAATGGCAGAAGCATCCATGTTGCAAGAGTATAGAGGGTCTTCACTGAGAGCTTCTGTTGACACACAACAAGTAATTTGATGGCAAATAATCCCAGAATTCCCAGTAGTAACACAGAGAGATATCGCAATAAAATGTAACGTGTAGTAAATCTCAGTACAACATTTGAAGTAATAAATACTCGGTACAACGACAGATTTCTACATAAACAAAAGCAGTACTTCTTTTACTCAATCACGTACTGTTAGTATTATCACTATTATACGGATTAATTAACTATTTTTTGAAGTCACTATATCATATCATGTTTTCTTCCCCACTAATAATAATTCCCATTTGTTACTTGTGGTCATATACACTATTCCTCTATCGATTGAGCTTATACGAATTTACAAAATATTGTAGTTAGTTTTCTGTGTTAAACTATACTATTTTATGAACATTGTGCACAAAATCACATTCATAAAACACTTTGTCTATAAAAGTTAGTGGCTATGCGAAATATTTAAAATACATGAAATGCAATGAATTTCCACTGTGTCATTGAAGAATAAATATAGCCAATGTATCAAAGTAACTCTGTTTTGTGGCGATATTACTGACTGAAGCTGTGTAATCATATTTGTAGTTCATCAGTAAATTATATTAGTATACTTCCTACACAAAGAGAGCTCTTTATAATTTCATTTTCGAGCATTACTCTGGTTGGTTATGAAAGGGACTATTCCGAACTACTAATGAGCTATTATCAAATGTAATTATTCTGTTTTTCATATTCATCAAATGTATAGTCATCTCTCTCCAATAAAATATTCTTATGTTAACATTTTTCATTAGCCGTTACATCGTTGCACAACTTCACTTTTGTATTTAATGTTCATCAACAATTTATCACTCAATACTACCGAATGTTTACAATTTTTTTATATTCTTCAAGTTAACAATTATCTTTTATCAGTAATCTATTTTTACTTTGATCTGTTACATACTCTTTTTATACTTCAGAAAACTATATATATTTATATATAGCTTACAAAACATTCAAATAATCAGGAATCAAAAGTAATTATGGATGGTCAACGTGTGCGTATGAACAGATATTAAGGGAAGAAAATAGGACAGAACGATGGTTATACATAAGTTCATGACCTTTTGAAACGGGTGTATATATCGCTCAAATTCTTAAATGATTGCAGTAGACTGGCTGGATTTCTCCTACATTTTATTGTAGACAACTAGTAATCACTGACGAATCAGTTAATCACCTACTGACGTTTTAACTACATACTGCTTACCTTAAGATTGATACTATCCTCCAGTTTATAAAAAGTTCAATAATTTTGAGATGATGGAGAAGATTTGTAGCTCAGGTGGATGGTATTGGTGAAATTTTGTTCTCTGAGCTGGATGGTTTGGTCGTGGAGCTTTCATCGTTCTTCTGAACGACATCATCAGCACAAACTTCAGATTGCTGCGAAGAATTCCAGCATTATCAACCAATCAGGAAAATCATGCATAAATATAAGAACAAAAATCAAGACAATGGGAGACACAACCAAAACAAAGAAGTGAACAATGACAAATTTAATGTCAATAAGAACCAATCAACATCGAGGTGCACAGAACATGCTGTGAAACACATATGGGGAAATTCGAACACTTCACTTCTATCTGAAGTTTGTGCTGATGATGTCGTTCAGAAGAACGATGAAAGCTCCACGACCAAACCATCCAGCTCAGAGAAAAAAACCACCAAAAAGTACAATAATCCTCAACTCCATGCCTATATTACTTGAAATTTAGAGTTATATTTCTCTGGAAAAATAATTGATAAAGTTAGTCTATCTCTTTGCTATATTACTTGATAAACTGATTGAATGATAAATTTACTGGCCCTTTTCACATTTATTATCATTTATAGTGACTAAACTAATCTTATGGATCATTTGTTTTAAATTTGGTGGTGGAATGGCTATCGATGCGCTTAAAACCGATCAACGTAACGATATACTTACGAATGCTGCATCAATTTTATTTAGTGGTCTTGCTGGACGTTTACGTAAGAGTTTCTACTGTTTCACTACTTTCTAATAACATTTCAAACTCATCATTATTTCCATAAATAAAATTGATATATACACTCCAGAAGATTGGATAAACATGTGTTACGTTGGATGCCATCTCAGTGGTCTAGGAGGCCGAATGTCCTGAGTTCAATTTCCAGATAGGGAGTAGTGGGTGCGCATTGATGAGGAATCGCATACTAGGGCGAAACGGCTGTCCAGACCTTCAACGGTTTATATGATGGTTAGATGAATTTGTGGGAATATGGTTTTATCTGCTGTGTTGTTGATTGCTCTGCTTAAATTTTCTGCATCTAGTAACTGTTGTAAGAGAGCAACTAGTCATTGGTTCAGAATTGTTTATATAAGTCACTATGCCATAGAAACAAGCTAGTTCTTGAGGTCACAAATATAAGCTAATATTTATGCTTTAACACAATACCACAGTCCTTCAGCAAATAGTTTATTGCTTCCAGATGATGCCTCACAGCATTATTAACATTGTAAGAAATACCCTCCGAAAACAATTTATAAACAACATCTCAAATAATTTAACATTAAATATCCATCCACCACATGTAACATGATTTTCCGAATCAACCTGATCATGTCTGTAAATGACTACGGATTCTGTGGAGATTTTCAAAATATATTACATCTAAGTAGAATGAATGTATACAAGCAAATACAATATGCCAACAAGTGTTTATAGAACTGGTATTTTATATCTAGTTGAGGACTTTTGGATTTTGCTTGAGGGTCGACTTGACGTTTCGACTTCCAGAACAAAGCGGATTGTTTTCCTAAAAAGTAATGTCAATAATGCTAGCCTATGAGTCAGATTTACGAGGCAGCAAGGATACGGTGAAAATTTCCTTTCTATAGTAGGTGGTGATTAAGGTAGATTTAGAGTCATATTATTGTTTTTATTTTATAAAGCCCTTGTGGACTGTTGGTTTAAAAGTGATTCTCTTCTCTTTGCCAGCTTAGGACATTTAGCCGAATGCCAACTTGAGGGCTAAGTATAATTAATTATTTCCCATCTGGAAAACGTGTTGAAATTAACCAAGTTGTGATCAGTTTACAATATACCTTGTTAGAGCAGTGGAATATGTGGACAACCGTAAGAATATAGTGTTTTACATACCAAGCCAGTAGCTTGTTTCATCAGCTATGACCTTTTATTGATATTGTTGTACAAAGTCTTTTTACTCGTATGCCTTCTCTATCATTCCTAGCTACGTCTAGTATGGCTATTCTAATCAATTGATTCAGCATAATACCGTGCTTCAACCCATTGATCTCGCAGGCACTGTAGATAGTTATTTTGAGCTTCATTGATCAATATCTTTTTATGTAGATTTTGGTGAAACAAACTATAATACTAATTATTATTAATAATTAATGGCTTTATTCAATATTATATTTTGGTACAATGTGGAATTCTCGGC